ATACCGAATAGTTGCGGAGACTGACTTATTTTTGAAAAATCCCAATTTTTACAAAGAATGTGTGAGCTTATTATCGTTTTTGCCACGAGCAATTTCGCAGTTTTTGATTGCTGCTATTTGCTTTGTTATTGGTTGAAAAGAGCTGAAACCTGCACAAACTGCTCAAATTAACCAGCGCTCTCTCAATAATTTGTATTTACGGCGAGGTGTTCTATGGTTTAGCTCTACGTATGCTAATAAGCAAAACAATGACGTCAGCTAGGATTCGGTTATTCACCATTTCCATATAGGCCGTAATGCACCTTATTTACCCCCTCATATTTTGCACATCCATTTTCTTCGATTTCTCTTAGGACGACTGTAATACACAGGAGAAATTGGAAACAATAATGGTTATGCAAAATGGGGGGGGGGAAACAAGGTACATTTTAGTCCATGTCAAAATGGTGAATAAAAGCTTACCTGATCTTTGACATGTCATGTGTTGTGTAAGTCCCAATTCAAATGAAAAAATAATTCGGCTCTAACACACCGTCCACTATTTAAACCTCATTGTTGCCACTTGGTCCCTCCCATGATTGGTTGTAAATTTATGTAAAAGACATGTATAATACGCACTGAAATTCTAAATTGGCCCAAAGCACTAAAGCATTTTTTTTCAGTTCAGTCATAAAACAGGGGCAACAAAGACTGTTTTCTGTAAAATATCTGTCCAGAGAAGCAAATATTACCTAGAATTTTCTATTAGTTGACGTTTCATTCATGCACAATTTTCGAAGCTTATCTAATAAATTCCCAACGATTTTCTGAACTTTAATTTTTCACATTTCGCTCCCTAGGTTAGGATATTTCTCGTAGACAAAAGGAAACCTAAATCAAAAATACAATAAACAGAGAAATCAGAAAAATTCTCACTTTCGTTATACGTTAAATTGCCTCTAAAATTTTCGAGAAAATAATACTGAAGCCCTTCTTGGAATTCCGAAAAAACTCAAATTTTCCTAAGATGACCGAACAGATGCAAATCTTATAGCGGCACTTAGAATGCATTTCTGGAGACCTACACGTACTCTGGATAGCCTAAAAAGTGTTTAGAAGGAGACCTTCGTAGGTTGCCCTGCTAAAAAGAGGAATTGCAGGATGATTTTGAATTAGGGCCTTAGGGATTAGGAAGTAAAGAAATGAATGACTGAAAATATTCAAATACCGTTTCAGAATTCCATTTGTTTCTCCAATCTTTTATCTTTCTATAGTAAGAGTGGAGTTTACCGCATTGAACCAGAGCTCAACGTCTCTCGAGGTGGAGTGGAACACAACTTTACCAGCTTTTCTTACATACGGCGATGAAAAGAGAGGATTTAAAATAGATTTTCGAAGAGCGGGAGATACGGAAGTTAAAAGTATACTAGTCTGCAACAGTTCCAGTTATCTATTTACCGATCTAATGGTATTCACAAACTACTGTTCAAGCGTGGTGTCTTTCAACAATGACAAAATTGACACGAAAGTGGATAATTTCAAATGCGTGTTCACGGACGAAGAAGGTAATAATAACATCTGTATTCGTCCGTGTTTTGTTTGCGATCCCCTTATGTTTACAGGCCTATGTATATGTACGACATGTTCAGATACAGGCAGTCTTTTTCATGTCTATTGGTGAAAAAAATTGAATTGAGTATTCCTTAACCGTTAAAGATTTATATAGAGTAGTATCTGTCTAATATAAGAATAGATAATTAAAAATGGTTTACATGGAGGTGGGGGACCCCAAGTAGGTGAGGTAACACCCTTTGGTGGGGTAACCCGCCTGTCCTTACAACAGGGTCTTAATGGGGTTAACCGATAGGCGTAAAACGGCCAAAAATTTAGTAGATAGTCGTAAAAATGGAAAAATTTTACCCATAGGGTAAAAAAGTTAACCGTAAAAGAAATTGTTTCTTAGATTTGTGTTAAATTCACTTATGACCGGTTGCGCCTCTTACTTCGCGGCTTCTTTAACTCCTTACGCACGTTTGGCCAAGCGCCTTTTCAGGATCCACAGGATTCTTACTTGACCTCACTTGGCCTGTGTTTTGTACGACGAGTTGACAGCTCCTTCTTTTTAGATCTCCAATTTCGCCATCCGGTGTACACATGAGTAGTCTCTTTTGCAGTCGTCTTTAGGCTCGTAAGAACGGTTGCGACAGAGACTAACATATGAGTTAATCGATGTCAGTATTGAAAGCTGCTGTTAGTATTTTTCCAACGGGTGAAAAAAGGCCAATCGAAACACCCTCCCGCAACGTGAGACATTAGGAGCATTGGATACTTTCAACATTCAAGAAAAACGTTACTGTTTTCTTGATCTAAACGAGCAAGCCAGGAAGTTTGGTCTAAAAACTGTAAAGCCTCGCCAAAATCAGAGGCAAAACAGAAAATTATTCTTTATCGACCCAGCAGCAGCTAGATCTGAAACTACCCCTGTTGTTGTTGAAAGCCAGCTGGATAGTAAGTACCTTTAAATTATTGAATTCTATACTAAACAACCGAGTGGTATGAAGTTTTTGTGAGAGTTTTATATTGATGATGGCAAAATAAAACTCCCGTAGCAACGTGTTTGCAAGAACTAATTTTTTCCTCAGTGGAAATCTGATTTTTTTGTTGGGGATTAATATTTCCCATTTTCAGGAGGTCATGCGCTCGAAATAGTAGTGAAACAAAACGCAGAGATGTCACTGTTTGTAAGACACGTTGCCGATAAACTACAATTCCCTGTTTTTCTCTTTTCTCGTTACGTTAGACATTGTATACACTTTCTACAAGTCCTTTTTCACCTTTAAGTACTTATGGGAGCCGAGGTCGACTTGTAGCAAGTCCAGACATTGCCACGCCTAGCCCCTGTACGGTGTCTTTCGGTCAAGGCATTTGGATGGGATATCCGAGACAAAACTAGCTCGGACCACGTGACCGAAACGCATTGGCCGCGCAGATTAATGAGGCCTAGGGACAAGGCAAGGGGTCCTTCGCTATCGTAAATATAACTGGACCCTGGAATTTTGTTATTTTTGTTATAACTGGATGTCGCGCCCCGGCCGCGAGTTGAGTGTTCGCGTGTCTGCTTTTGCTTTTTCACGAAGATTCTTTTTAAATTAACCGTCTACATTTCTATGGGTAAAACACGACCTCGTCCCCAGGGCGCTTTTCGCTGGCTTTGGAAGGAAAGGCGCCCTGGGGACGAGGTTTAGTGAAATAATATTAGAAGTGGAATACGTGAAAGTATGATCTATCAAATATTAAAATTTTTCAAAAGAATATTAATATTTAACTCTTTGAAACAAAAGAAATTAATTTTTAACTTTTTTGTTAACCGTAACTGAAATAAATTAACCGACAGCCGTAAAAGAGCCAATATGTAAGCCGATAACCGTAAAATCAACCACCTCATTGAGAGCCTCTTATAATCTCTCATTTTAATTTGATCACGTTTACATGATAGGTGGGGTGACACCTTGCATGTTACCTCTCCTATCTGGGGTCCCCCACCTCCATATAAACAGGCCCTTATTAAGTCTGTCTGAAGAAACATGATTCTAGGATTCACTTCGTTTTGTATAGAATTGTCTTGGAAACAAAAAATGTCTGTAATTTCCTTTTTAGTTCCTGGTGGCCCACCCTTGAGTTTAACAGCCAACAATGCCAGCTCTACAAGCATATTTGTATCTTGGAATCCAATTGAGGAAGAGCTACAGCACGGAATTATACTCGGGTATAGAATCGCCTACAAAAAAGAAAATGCTGCTAGGCGAAAACGGCGAAGTCTTTCGTTTACAGATAATGTTGTCCTTGTGGAAAATATCTTGGCTTGGACTCTGGAGGGGCTTGAAAAGTTTACGGACTATTGCATTCAGATTGTGGGTTTTAATAGCAAAGGAGACGGGAATTCAAGCGACATTGTCTGTGTTCGCACAGACGAGGACGGTAAGCACTATATTCCTTTGTTATTGCATCGTCTAGCAATAGTGTATTAGCCTATTAGCATATACATAATATATGGTTTTTCAGTTTGGTTTTCGAAAACGCAGACTGATTTAAAATACGATTTGTAACATGAATGTGTCCAAAATTCCCTTACAAAATCATATGCGGTTGCATTGCAATCTTGCAATATTTTTCTGTCCGCTGTGTGCAATATAAACCGAGATTAGCGTCAATTACCAGCTGTTGTTTGGGACTAAACTGAAGAGGGAGGCGAGAATAACACTGAAATAGTCAAAGAGTCTGTAGCGAGATTTGTTTCACGTTAATTAAATTGAAAAAGTCGACGCACAATTAACATTGTAGTGATCTTCAAGGCAGCAATACAAACATGAGAGGGGAGATAAAAAGAATGGGAAAAAAACGATCCAAAATAATGTAATGCCATCTGAACTTAAAACAATAGGTTGATGTTAAAATTTGTAATCTTTGAAGACTCTGGTTGCCTTGATTATGGCAAAGTTCGAACAAATTCAATTTTGAAAGAAATTTCTAAGGGTCATAAACACAGTAAATTCGAATAAGTATGCTATCGATATAATTTGCTCATATCTAAAGAAAATGTTGAGGCCTTGAAATACAGTTTCATCTCATGGTGGTTTGTTACATACAAAATTGATAAAAAAAAAAAAAAAAGCAGCCGAACATTAGCCAATTAAATTTTACTTTCTCGCAATCCGCCAGAGCGACAACTCTCTTTTTTCGCACACACTTTCAAATTTGGTTGGTATTTATACTGGGGGGAGGGAGAGGCTCCATAGGTACATGTATTGTAATCGTAATTTGTTACACATGTTAAAAAGTGATGGAGGTTGAGTTGATAAATGTGTGTGAAAAATTTTCTAACTTCACTCTACAGCATGTTTGGTTGACTATATTTTATGGTTACTACTTAGCCTGAACGCATGAAACGCTTTAACTGTAGCAAATATAAAGATGACAGGGTAAATTTCTGATTTTTATCGAACCGTTCTCATTATTCTTAAGTTCCAAGTTTACCACCGAATATCACAGAAGGGTTCAACACTAGTTCAACAAGCATCTTCTTAAACTGGACGCAAATACCTCCCGGCTTCATCCATGGATACTTGTTAGGTTACAAAATGACTTTATACCAAATTACAAGTAGTGGTGTCTATCAAGAAGCTGTTACGATCGATACTGGGCTTGCTGAGCTATCAAAAGACATTACCAGTCTATCAGTATACACTACTTACTGTATTCGTCTGGCTGGACGAACTCGAATTGGCCCAGGAAACTGGAGCGACTGTTTCAACGTAACGACTGATGACGAAGGTAAGGAGCTAGTTACCGAAACAAAGAGGGTTTGTATAGATTTCGGCCCAAAGGTCAATTTGGGAACCATCTGGCCTTAAAGTAAAGCGAACCTCGAATTCAAAAGTGGAAGCATGAAAATTAATAAGTTCGCCGAAATTCTAAAAGGGTCTTATCAACACTCAAAAAAGAGTGTATAAGAATGACAAGAAGAGTAGTTAGTTGTCGAAAATCTGGGTTTTTCCAGGATATCCAAGTGTTTAGCATTGTTACGTTTTGTCAAAGTACGCAGCTATTATCCCCAGGAATGTATTTGACATACGATGATCTTGTGTTCGCCTAAAGGAAGCCGTTTAAAATTGTTAATAGTATTTGCGGGAAGGAATCTCCTAACCTGTACTGTGCCAACTGTGATGCCTCGGCATTAAATGGTTCAAAGAGAGTATCTTTTTAAAAGGAAATTAAGTCTCTCGAACGATGGTATGAGTACTGCACTGTGATGGACAACGCATTTAATTTAAATAACTTGCATGATAAAAATTGAAAAGTCTCTCAAGTATAGTCAGTCATTTTTATATCCCGTTATCTGCCTGTTTCTTGGGCGTAATAGCATTAGGCCTGTCTCACCAACTGATGCCCTGTATTATCATTCTCTAGTTCTACCGTTGCCTCCAATTGATGTCAAAGCTGTCAGTTTTACAAGTACCAACACCATGAACGTAACATGGAGTCCACCTCCCCTTTTATACGGTGAGATAACTGGGTATAAGATCATTTTTGAGTATCAGTTGGAGGATGGTACCTGGCAAACACGAGAAGCCATGACTTGTTCAACTCAGACGACGCTAACTGGGCTGGACATTAACACTGAGTACAGAATTAAGGTCGCTGCTAGCACAAGGAAGGGCTTCAGTCCCTTTAGCGAATTCGCCTATGGAGGTAATTTTTTTAACGCAAATAAAAAAAGCGTTACCTTTGAATTCATTTCTTCTGTCAGTTTTTCTTTGATATTTCCAAACGGGTCATAAGTTCTTCCTGTTGATCTTTTTATCAAACTAAGAAGAGTAGTAAAATAATGAAAAAAAAGGCACTCCCATAAGTGAAAGGAATGCTCGATATTTGGCACACTCCCTTTCGCTCCTAAGTTAGAGAGGAGGAAGACAAAAGGTGTTTGAAACCGTCACAACATCTATCATCCTTCACGGTGCATTTTAGTTGTGTCTTAAATGCGGTATACGTAGGGTTGGATTGTGCTGTACCCATTTTATAAGAAACGTATAAATCCTAATAACTACTACTTACCATATTTTTGTGTCTTCCAGGAACTTGTAGCTGCCCCGAAAACGTCACTGTCGTCGAAAATCCAAGTTCCCTGGACGACGATCACATCTCGTTGTCTAAAATAATCGAGGAGCTAGTTGTTGACGTTTGTGGAACTTGTCACGCCTTTGGCAGAACAAATTTAATTAAGGTATCGGATTCAGAAGGAGATGTGAATATAAATTATCCGATTGTAATAGCTAGCGGGAGCTTTTCAAGAGGCAAGTTCGTAGCTGTGATTGAAGTGCCTGGTCTAGCTGTTGTTCAAAGAAAGTCTATTCCAGGTGGCATGGAGAAAGTGATCGCAGTATCAGTGTTCAGTTCGTGGCCAGTATTTGCAATTTCTGGAGTCATGACCATCTTGGCTGGTTTGGTGATTTGGGTTTTGGTAAGAATAACTTNCCCCACCTCCATATAAACAGGCCCTTATTAAGTCTGTCTGAAGAAACATGATTCTAGGATTCACTTCGTTTTGTATAGAATTGTCTTGGAAACAAAAAATGTCTGTAATTTCCTTTTTAGTTCCTGGTGGCCCACCCTTGAGTTTAACAGCCAACAATGCCAGCTCTACAAGCATATTTGTAGCTTGGAATCCAATTGAGGAAGAGCTGCAGCACGGAATTATACTCGGGTATAGAATCGCCTACAAAAAAGAAAATGCTGCTAGGCGAAAACGGCGAAGTCTTTCGTTTACAGATAATGTTGTCCTTGTGGAAAATATCTTGGCTTGGACTCTGGAGGGGCTTGAAAAGTTTACGGACTATTGCATTCAGATTGTGGGTTTTAATAGCAAAGGAGACGGGAATTCAAGCGACATTGTCTGTGTTCGCACAGACGAGGACGGTAAGCACTATATTCCTTTGTTATTGCATCGTCTAGCAATAGTGTATTAGCCTATTAGCATATACATAATATATGGTTTTTCAGTTTGGTTTTCGAAAACGCAGACTGATTTAAAATACGATTTGTAACATGAATGTGTCCAAAATTCCCTTACAAAATCATATGCGGTTGCATTGCAATCTTGCAATATTTTTCTGTCCGCTGTGTGCAATATAAACCGAGATTAGCGTCAATTACCAGCTGTTGTTTGGGACTAAACTGAAGAGGGAGGCGAGAATAACACTGAAATAGTCTGTAGCGAGATTTGTTTCACGTTAATTAAATTGAAAAAGTCGACGCACAATTAACATTGTAGTGATCTTCAAGGCAGCAATACAAACATGAGAGGGGAGATAAAAAGAATGGGAAAAAACGATCCAAAATAATGTAATGCCATCTGAACTTAAAACAATAGGTTGATGTTAAAATTTGTAATCTTTGAAGACTCTGGTTGCCTCGATTGTGGCAAAGTTCGAACAAATTCAATGAAAGCGGTTGGAAAAATTTTGAAAGAAACTTCTAAGGGTCATAAACACAGTAAATTCGAATAAGTATGCTATCGATATAATTTGCTAGTATCTAAAGAAAATGTTGAGGCCTTGAAATGCAGTTTCATCTCATGGTGGTTTGTTACATACAAAATTGATTTAAAAAAAGCAGGCGAACATTAGCCAATTAAATTTTACTCTCTCGCAATCCGCCAGAGCGACAACTCTCTTTTTTCGCACACACTTTCAAATTTGGTGGGTATTTATACTGGGGGGAGGGAGAGGCTCCATAGGTACATGTATTGTAATCGTAATTTGTTACACATGTTAAAAAGAGATGGAGATTGAGTTGATAAATGTGTGTGAAAAATTTTCTATCTTCACTCTATAGCATGTTTGGTTTACTATATTTTATGGTTACTACTTAGCCTGAACGCATGAAACGCTTTAACTGTAGCAAATATAAAGATGACAGGGTAAATTTTTGATTTTTATCGAACCGTTCTCATTATTCTTAAGTTCCAAGTTTACCACCGAATATCACAGAAGGGTTCAACACTAGTTCAACAAGCATCTTCTTAAACTGGACGCAAATACCTCCCGGCTTCATCCATGGATACTTGTTAGGTTACAGAATGACTTTATACCAAATTACAAGTAGTGGTGTCTATCAAGAAGCTGTTACGATCGATACTGGGCTTGCTGAGCTATCAAAAGACATTACCAGTCTATCAGTATACACTACTTACTGTATTCGTCTGGCTGGACGAACTCGAATTGGCCCAGGAAACTGGAGCGACTGTTTCAACGTAACGACTGATGACGAAGGTAAGGAGCTAGTTACCGAAACAAAGAGGGTTTGTATAGATTTCGGCCCAAAGGTCAATTTGGGAACCATCTGGCCTTAAAGTAAAGCGAACCTCGAATTCAAAAGTGGAAGCATGAAAATTAATAAGTTCGCCGAAATTCTAAAAGGGTCTTATCAACACTCAAAAAAGAGTGTATAAGAATGACAAGAAGAGTAGTTAGTTGTCGAAAATCTGGGTTTTTCCAGGATATCCAAGTGTTTAGCATTGTTACGTTTTGTCAAAGTACGCAGCTATTATCCCCAGGAATGTATTTGACATACGATGATCTTGTGTTCGCCTAAAGGAAGCCGTTTAAAATTGTTAATAGTATTTGCGGGAAGGAATCTCCTAACCTGTACTGTGCCAACTGTGATGCCTCGGCATTAAATGGTTCAAAGAGAGTATCTTTTTAAAAGGAAATTAAGTCTCTCGAACGATGGTATGAGTACTGCACTGTGATGGACAACGCATTTAATTTAAATAACTTGCATGATAAAAATTGAAAAGTCTCTCAAGTATAGTCAGTCATTTTTATATCCCGTTATCTGCCTGTTTCTTGGGCGTAATAGCATTAGGCCTGTCTCACCAACTGATGCCCTGTATTACCATTCTCTAGTTCTACCTTTGCCTCCAATTGATGTCAAAGCTGTCAGTTTTACAAGTACCAACACCATGAACGTAACATGGAGTCCACCTCCCCTTTTATACGGTGAGATAACTGGGTATAAGATCATTTTTGAGTATCAATTGGAGGATGGTACCTGGCAAACACGAGAAGTCATGACTTGTTCAACGCAGACGACGCTAACTGGGCTGGACATTAACACTGAGTACAGAATTAAGGTCGCTGCTAGCACAAGGAAGGGCTTCAGTCCCTTTAGCGAATTCGCCTATGGAGGTAATTTTTTTAACACAAATAAAAAAAGCGTTACCTTTGAATTCATTTCTTCTGTCAGTTTTTCTTTGATATTTCCAAACAGGTCATAAGTTCTTCCTGTTGATCTTTTTATCAAACTAATAACAATAGTAAAATAATGAAAAAAAAGGCACTCCCATAAATGAAAGGAATGCTCGATATTTGGCACACTCCCTTTCGCTCCTAAGTTAGAGAAGAGGAAGACAAAAGGTGTTTGAAACCGTCACAATATCTATCATCCTTCACGGTGCATTTTAGTTGTGTCTTAAATGCGGTACACTAGGGTTGGATTGTGCTGTACCCATTTTATAAGAAACGTATAAATCCTAATAACTGCTACTTACCATATTTTTGTGTCTTCCAGAAACTTGTAGCTGCCCCGAAAACGTAACTGTCGTCGAAAATCCAAGTTCCCTGGACGACGATCACATCTCGTTGTCTAAAATAATCGAGGAGCTAGTTGTTGACGTTTGTGGAACTTGTCACGCCTTTGGCCAAACAAATTTAATTAAGGTATCGGATTCAGAAGGAGATGTGAATATAAATTATCCGGTTGTAATAGCTAGCGGGAGCTTTTCAAGAGGCAAGTTCGTAGCTGTGATTGAAGTGCCTGGTCTAGCTGTTGTTCAAAGAAAGTCTATTCCAGGTGGCATGGAGAAAGTGATCGCAGTATCAGTGTTCAGTTCGTGGCCAGTATTTGCAATTTCTGGAGTCATGACCATCTTGGCTGGTTTGGTGATTTGGGTTTTGGTAAGAATAACTTTACAACTTCTACTGACTCCTTAAATTAAATACAAAATAAAACAATTTTGTGTATTACGTGAGTATTAAATGAAGCTAACGTGAGTTCTGTATGTTTATCATCAAAATAAATTTGATCAGGAAATGAGAAATGAAAATGAATTAAAAAGAAATCGAATTTAGATGAAGTGCTCATTCAACAAATGGTGTAGCCAAATGGTGTAGCCAAAATATGATAAAGCTTGAGAAATAAAATAACAAGCTTCAACCGATTTCGATGAAGAAGGAGGGAGCTGAAAGAAGCATTCAGAACTGATTAGTGCATCAGATATCTGGTCAAAGAAATCCATTATTAATCAGAAGGTTATTGTTAGTACTGAACCAGTACCACTGTTTCATAAGGACAGAAAGAACAGATATGTCTCGTCATTGATGAAATACACGCCTATCTTTACCACTAAAACGAAAAAAATCTTGGGGTGCCTAACTCTGAACAAGTGGGCTTGCCCAGTATCTCTATCTTGTAAATTGTTTTCTTTCAATTACATATTGTGGCCTGCCAGGGCTAGCCTTTTGGTTAACTGTAGGCCAAGAAATTGCATATCCAAATAACAGCAATAAAATTTGGTGATATTGTCTAACAGTAAAAATTTTTCTATGAAGGATGTAACCACCAATCCAGAGGAATTTCCTCCGATATTTTATAAAGGTGCCGGAGAGGGGTTTTGGTGGGCATTTATCACCATGACAACGCTAGGGTAAGTAACAGGCTTTACTGCATGAGGTGTTGATGTTAGCTACTCGTATAATGTTTTGTTTACACCAGAAAAGCCACAAAAACAACACGAATAAGATCAAAGTCTACATCCTATCAAAAACTAAGCCATCTAATATCAGAGAAGGTATCCAACCAAACTATTCACCAGGACCTGCCTTCGTTTTTACAATGCCTTTACTAGTATTCTCTTTCAAAAGCTGGTAATCCAGCTTTTACGGCTTTCAATTCCGCAGTACACGTACGTAGTACTAAATTAAACAAAATCTTGAAAACCCGCTCTATGAGAAAAACGTGACTAGGGCAACCTTTTTCGATCTTCTTGCAGGTATGGAGACCGAACGCCAAAATCCAATAAGGCCAAGGTCTTCGCCATAATATGGTTTTTAGTTGGCCTTGTCGTGTTTGGTCTCTTTTCCGCTGGTTTGGCATCAGATTTGACTGTGGTTGTTAAGGCTGGGGGAACACAGGGCTCAGGCACAAGTAAAGTCATAAAAGTAAGTCAACACATCTCAGAAAGAGTTCATGAACTCGAATTCTTATTAATAAGCTATTTTAGCGTAGACCTTTCGAAATTGCATGGCTTAATTTTCTTTTACCCTGTAGCCTTTTCTAGGCTCTCAGTTAGTAGGTTCTGCGCTAAAACGCAGGCTCAGTGTCTCCCTAGTACCCACACGTTTGTTGTATTTACGTTTCCTTTTGCTCAGTTAAACTACTTTTATAAGGTCTAGAACAGGCTATTAATTAAAGTATTTTGTATTAATACATACAGATTGCCACACTAAATGATTCCGCTGAAAAGCAAGTGGCAGTAAGACAGCTGATGAACAAATTTGAGCTTAGTAAGTGCCCTTCTTTAATTTAAGAAGTCATTATAGCTGTTCGAGAATGCATTTTGTTCGCACCTTTTATCGTTTTAATGGCGAAACCAGTTTGCTTCTTTTTTAAAAAAGTACAAATTGGCGTACCCATAAAGACGATTGCGTTATACACCGTGAAATTTCCAAAACTTTTTACCAGTGCGTATCCCATGTGGCAGAACCTTTGCAAATCAACTCGCGGCCCCGTGTATTTCAAGTTGAAACTAGAAACCAAGCCAGTGACACCAGTACCCTTACACATGAATACAGACATATCTGACTGGCAATTCCCCTGGCAGTGTCAGCCATATACAGTCAAGGACCCGTGAACAAACCTTACAGCAGGGATCTGACTCCCATTTCATGCTGATAAGCCCTAATGAGTGTGAGACAGCTGTCCATGGCTTTCACTCTCCCGGTAATATGGCTGTGTGCATACGTAAGGTACTGACCAGGCCGTGGGTTGGTGTATTTGTGCCCCTTGCTTTAAGTTTGTCTTACCCCTAGCTTATTGAGCGACCCGTTATCTACATTCCGAATTCCGATTCAGTCAGTTTTAAATAGTGCTGATGGCATGGAGAAAGTGATCGCAGTATCAGTGTTCAGTTCGTGGCCAGTATTTGCAATTTCTGGAGTCATGACCATCTTGGCTGGTTTGGTGATTTGGGTTTTGGTAAGAATAACTTTACAACTTCTACTGATTCCTTAAATTAAATACAAAATAACACAATTTTGTGTATTACGTGAGTATTGAATGAAGCTAACGTGAGTTCTGTATGTTTATCATCAAAATAAATTTGATCAGGAAATGAGAAATGAAAATGAATTAAAAAGAAATCGAATTTAGATGAAGTGCTCATTCAACAAATGGTGTAGCCGAATGCTTATTAATTAAAGACTAAGGTTACAGTAGTGGCCTTGAATTTGAGTGTACATTAAAAGGTCCAAGTACTTGTGAAATCTCTTAAATGCCTCATTCTTCATATGAATGCAAGGCAAAATATGATTAAGCTTGAGAAATAAAATAACAAGCCTCAACCGATTTCGATGAAGAAGGAGGGAGCTGAAAGAAGCATTCAGAACTGGTGCATCAGATATCCGATATTTCCTGGTTAAAGAAATCCAGTATCGATCAGAAGAGTATCATTAGTACTGAACCAGTACCACTGTTTCATAAGGCCAGAAAGAGCAGATACGTCCTGTCATTGATGAAATGCACGCTTATCGTTACCACTAAAACGTTACAATCTTTGGGCTGCCTAAATATCTCTGAACAAGAGGGCTTGCCTATCTCTATCTTGTATACTGTTTTCTTTTAATTACATATTGTGGCCTGCCGGGGCTAGCCTTTTGATTAACTGTGGGCGAAGAAATTGCATATCCAAATAACAGTAATAAAATTTGGTGATCTTGTCTAACAGTAAAAATTTTCTATGAAGGATGTAACCACCAATCCAGAGGAATTTCCTCCGATATTTTATAAAGGTGCCGGAGAGGGTTTTTGGTGGGCATTTATCACCATGACAACGCTAGGGTAAGTAAAAGGCTTTACCGCGTGAGGTGTTGATGTTAGCTACTCGTATATGTTTTGTTTACACCGGAAAAACCACAAAAACGACAGGAATATGAACAAAGTCTACATTCTATCGAAAATTAAGCCATCTAATATTTCAGGAGAACGTGTCCAACCAAAATATTCACCAGGACGTGCCTTCGTTTTTACAATGCCTTTACTGGTATTCTCTTTCAGAAACCGGTAATTAATCCAGCTTTTACGGCTTTCAATTCCGCAGTACACATAGGTAGTACTAAATTAAGCAAAATCTTGAAAATCCGCTCTATGAGAAAAACGTGACTAGGGTAACCTTTTTCGATCTTTTTGCAGGTATGGAGACCGAACGCCAAAATCCAATAAGGCCAAGGTCTTCGCCATAATATGGTTTTTAGTTGGCCTTGTCGTGTTTGGTCTCTTTTCCGCTGGTTTGGCATCAGATTTGACTGTGGTTGTTAAGGCTGGGGGAACACAGGGCTCAGGCACAAGTAAAGTCATAAAAGTAAGTCAACACATCTCAGAAAGAGTTCATGAACTCGAATTCTTATTAATAAGCTATTTTAGCGTAGACCTTTCGAAATTGCATGGCTTAATTTTCTTTTACCCTGTAGCCTTTTCTAGGCTCTCAGTTAGTAGGTTCTGCGCTAAAACGCAGGCTCAGTGTCTCCCTAGTACCCACACGTTTGTTGTATTTACGTTTCCTTTTGCTCAGTTAAACTACTTTTATAAGGTCTAGAACAGGCTATTAATTAAAGTATTTTGTATTAATACATACAGATTGCCACACTAAATGATTCCGCTGAAAAGCAAGTGGCAGTAAGACAGCTGATGAACAAATTTGAGCTTAGTAAGTGCCCTTCTTTAATTTAAGAAGTCATTATAGCTGTTCGAGAATGCATTTTGTTCGCACCTTTTATCGTTTTAATGGCGAAACCAGTTTGCTTCTTTTTTAAAAAAGTACAAATTGGCGTACCCATAAAGACGATTGCGTTATACACCGTGAAATTTCCAAAACTTTTTACCAGTGCGTATCCCATGTGGCAGAACCTTTGCAAATCAACTCGCGGCCCCGTGTATTTCAAGTTGAAACTAGAAACCAAGCCAGTGACACCAGTACCCTTACACATGAATACAGACATATCTGACTGGCAATTCCCCTGGCAGTGTCAGCCATATACAGTCAAGGACCCGTGAACAAACCTTACAGCAGGGATCTGACTCCCATTTCATGCTGATAAGCCCTAATGAGTGTGAGACAGCTGTCCATGGCTTTCACTCTCCCGGTAATATGGCTGTGTGCATACGTAAGGTACTGACCAGGCCGTGGGTTGGTGTATTTGTGCCCCTTGCTTTAAGTTTGTCTTACCCCTAGCTTATTGAGCGACCCGTTATCTACATTCCGAATTCCGATTCAGTCAGTTTTAAATAGTGCTGACTCAGAAAAGGAGTCCAACTTTTGGTCGAGCGTGAAAATTACCGTTGGAAAACAGGTGTGTGTAAGTGGTTGTTAGGGGGAGCGGTCATTGCACTAAGACAATTCTTTATTTGCAAGATTCTTCATTTTCGGTCAAGAAAGTTGCGCAAAATATATTCTACCAATCCATCGCCTTGTGTGTATTTTTGGGGACATTGCCACCCCTTCCCCCCACTTCTAATCACAGGAAAATTAAAACGAAACGCTAGCTTTACGAGGAAAACATGAAAAAATATATTTATTTTATTTTTTTTTTTTTTTGTTTTGTTTTTTACGAATCATGACAAAGAAAAAAGCCAAACAGTTTATGACGATACTAGGAGACCACGAGGCAGCGCATTTCGTAACACAGGTTCTTGCAGTGATGCAATTTTTTTACGAAAATAAGGCACATTTTGTTAATAAAACAGCAACCTGGCAATGATTGGTCCATGAGTTATTTCTGCGATCTTGGACGTCACGTCCGCTGTTCAGAGAAATTATCAATTTAACTGTTGACACGTTTCGGATTTTCAAGGGATTTATTGTTGGTGTTTAGAGTATACATGTGCTTAATAAACATTGGTAATATCTTGATTAGGGGTGGACCATAAAAGTTGGGGGAGGAGAAAAAATCATTCAACTTTTGGAAGTACCCCGTTATTACAACACATCTGTCAACACTCTGAATCAGCGCTAATAAAAACTAAACTTTTGTGCAAACTGAACGCGAAAAACAAAATTAAAATACAAAAAATCGACCCTCGACATAGTACCCTCGACCCACGACACCTCGACCAAAAGTCAGACTTGTTACAATAATAGACCTTCTTACCGATACGGCGGCCATATTGAATTAATTCGACTTAAGGAGTATTATAGGATGCCCAGGGGCATGAGCACATTTCGTTTGTATTTTCGAGCGCTTTTCGGGACATTTTATCTTAAAGTTTTCTTAGAATAAGATTGTAATGGGAAAAAAAAGATCTTTGTCACGTGTTTGAATGTAATAATGATCGCCTTTTTCTAGAAATATGGTCTTTCACTGTATATTTCTCTGGAAAAAGGCAATCATTATTTCAACTTGACACTTGGACTCTGGCCCCCCAGAAGACACGTGGTATGGCGTGATTCTGTGGGTGTTGGGTGTTCTAGGTCAGAGCTTATGAGTGCGCGGATATTTATCACCAGAGTTTTCTCTGGTTGTTACGCCATACTGACGAGCCCCAAAGAGGGCGAAACAGCTGTCTATGGCTACAATCTCGCTCTGTTTTGAGTTGTTTCGGTGTCATGTTGATGTCTTGCAGAGTTAGTTTTCAGGTAGTACGATCAGCATTGCAGTATTCTGCTTGCAGAATTTAATATGTCTACTTTTCATTTTTACTGATCAGGTCTTTATAGATCCTACGTTCTTCGGCGTATTCGTTTGCGGTCCTTTGCAGTCCTTTGTGGGTAATGTTTGTACTTTAATTCAATATGGCCGCCGTATCGGTAAAAAGGTCTATTATAATTCTTTTCTTGGCCATAATAGGGCACTTCCGAGTTCCAAAAACCCTCAATTTCAAAATGAGGCTAGGTGCACAACCTTTCTTGTGAAAATGAGTTTTATTTGCACGAGAATGAAAAATGATTTCCATATGAAAGGCGGAGCACCAACCCTCGTTTTGAAACAGAGCGCTTTTCGGGACATTTTTTCTTAAAGTTTTCTTAGAATAAGATTGTAATGTGAAAAAAAAACCTTGTACCGTGTTTGGATGTAGTAATGATCGCCTTTTGCTAGTTTAGTATTAGAAATATGGTCTTTCACTGTATGTTTCTCCGGAAAAAGGCGATCATTATTACATCCAAACACGGCACTAGGATCTTTTTTCCCATTACAATCTTATTCTAAAAAAACTTTAACAAAAAATGTCCCGAAAAGCGCTCGAAAATACAAACGAAATGTGCTCATGCCCCCTGGGCATCCTATAATACTCCTTAAATCAAATTTATTCAATATGGCCGCCGTATCGGTAAAAAGGTCTATTCCAGTGGGCATAAATATGTTATGCAATCACCCATGTTTTTGACATTGCACTTTAAGTTGCATATTTATAACATATCTTAATGCATAGATTCCAATATACTTTATTAGCATTAGATTTATCAGGTATACTACCCAGACTCCAGAGGTCCGTTTTCAAAATACCTAGGATAAAATAAACCGTGCTAACGGTTTGATAAAACTTTGCCGCAAAAAAATAACCTCTGTAACCCAGGGTACAGGTCAGTACAAATATATTTATTCAAAAGAATAGAAAGTGAACTAACAATATTGTCCCGAATAGCGTCCAGTGGGTGCCACATTTAATGGGAGTTCTCATTTATTGGACAGGTGGAGAATTTGGAACCCTAAAAGAGCTTGTTGATGCATTAAAAGAGGAATCGACAGATGCCATTTTAATAGATATGTATACACCAGTAAGAAGGAAAGACCTTTTCAATGGCTCATGGTTTGAAATCTCCGAAATAGTAGACAAAGGAATCTCGCACGGTATTGCTCTTGGTGGAATATCAGAAACGTTAGCCAAAGACTTTCAGGAAATGATACGCGACAGAAATGTCCAAACAAAATTTCTTACCGATGATGACGAAAATCATCAGCAGGTAATTAGGAATTGTAATATGACTGGTATTTATTATGTTCGGTAAGTATGAAGTAAAACAAACCTATTGGTTGATTTTGCTACATGTATTACTTTTCAATCAGTCAGTAATTTTCTGGGAAAGCTTAGTACGAAACCAACGCAGCACCATTGATTACGAGTTTTGCCAACTTAACGAAAGATTAGCCTTATTTAGTGTTCAGTGTTGAATAAAACGTTTAGTAACGACAGGATTGTATTATATTATCCTACTTCTTTTTTAGGAAGAAGAAGAAGAGGAGGAAACTGGTTTGCTATTTTTTGAGCCAGGGAGTCCATATTTTGTACTCACGCTTGAAATCTGTGGAGGTCTACTTGGAGGCTTCCTCCTATGCGGCTGCATCTTTGAAGCTTATCAGAGGAACAGAGGAGGCACTCAAAAAACAGGCAAGTAGTTCAGTGCTGTAGATGTCTGATATGTTGCGAAAGATCGTAGCCATGTTTTATGTTGTTTCATTTGAAAGATACATGGTCTGACACCTGGTCAATTTGGGTAAGACCAAGAGAGGTTACCATTATGTTCTCTTGGTAAGAGGACTAGATGGATTTGATGGGGGCCATGCAAAAAATGGAATCATATGGTGAGTAAGGAGGCAGTAACGGCATCTTTCATTATAGCTGCATGTGATTATGATTTGGAGAATATGTTAACATTCTACCAAAAATAGCGTTTCTGGGGTTCTATAAAACTTCTAACTTCCATGAGGATTAATGTCCCAAGGACTTCTTATTTCATATGTACCTAACAGTGACTCTTACCAACCAGCTCGGTTTCGTCGCAATGTACAGGCAAAATTTCAATCGTGTTCCTTTTTTAGTTAGGGTGTCATTCCAAATATTAACGACTACGGGGATGGCGCAGATAAAAAATTTCTGCATAGAGGAAATACCCATCAAGTGCCTGCAATAATAATTCTTTATTTGCCCTCGGCAGTATTATAGTACTAAGGCTAATGGAGCCGAGCAAATGCCTGAAACAAATAATTTAAATCAAGTATAACAGGGTTAAGAATCTGGTGTACTGGTTAGAGGCAGACCAGCTGGTTATTTACAAGCATGGCCGAGGATTTGAACGTTGGATTACCGAGAACCAGTCCAGCCAGCGGTTACGGCGTAACTTGAACTCGGGGCCTCCGAATAGACCTTGTTAGCTTGAATGTTTTGTTTTTCCAATTCAGACCACGCGATGTTCATCGAGGAATTTGCCTTTTGTATTTACGTAAATTATTAACGATTTTCCTTTGTCCGCGAATGCGATGGTTTCCCTCAATGTTTTATCACGCTGGGCTCAGCTCGTTAGTGTTTTTAATCTCGGAGAGTGATTTACAGATCCAAATTTCGGAAAATGTATTGCACCTTAAACTGAAGCTACATCAACTACGGAGAACTGCATTGTGACTCAGTCAAGATTGCTCTTTTGAATTAGCTTAACAGTCCTGCGACTGTTCTGTTATTGCCACTTTCTGATCAAGCAAGACAATGGTTTCGGTTCTCCACGCGAACCTCATCAGTTACCAGATTGGCTTTGTTCTTAGTTGCTTTTAAAGGAACAACTTTATTTGTTCTGCTTTGTGCCGTGGCAAGAACGGTAAGCCGTTCTATCTAGCTGAGCTTTGACTTTGAACAAATAAATACCCGCGTCGCGGATCGAATATTGGCCATTTCGGAGTTGCGTAGGGGACTGGGGCTAGTTTCAAATTTAAACTAATCGATAAAGTAACACCGCCATATAAAAGGTCTGCTGACGACAGCATCAAGTGTCGGTGCGCGCACTCAGGCATGACAGGCCAAGTGGGCAGTTTTCAAACTCTCGGGGTTTGTCCTGCAAGCGTTTCCTTACCTCTCTTCCAAGCCCCTCCCCGCTCTTTTACTCGCGCCATTTTTCACGCGGACATGGACTCTCGTTACTCGTTCTTTGCTCCGAAACCGCACGGAAACGCTTGCTACGCAGGCTAATCAATCTGCAGAAACGTGCTTTGTGTTACAAAACATGAAACTGTTGGTAGTTCTCCTCGATTTTAGCCTGCCGCGAAAACAGCCGTTTCTACTCGCTCTTCACCGCTGAGGACGTTTCACCACAGGTAACCCAGGCTCACTATTTGAGTCACGTACGGGTTTCATATAACATGAGTAAATATAGAGAACATATGGGGCGAAGTTTAGGTCTGGAAATTTGCTAGAAAATGGAAATAAAGATCGATGAAACTTAAGGACGAACCATTAGAAAAGTGATGGAGGGGGGGGGGGGGGGGGGGAAAAAACAAAAAAAAAATTAATGCAAGGGAAAATGCCAAGAAAAAAAATTCATACAAAGAAGAAGGTAAAGAAAAAAAATTCATGCAGAAGGAAGGTCCAATTGTGAATTTTTCCGAAAGTCTGAGTTTCTTTCAGAAAGTCTGAGTTTCAGAAATCAACAAAATTACCAGGCACAATATGAATAAACAAAAATCACTTTCTTCTTGTTGAAAGGAGACAATTAGAACCTTGTTTTTGTTTTAAATTGTAGCTAGTGTACCTACAACATACACTGTATACTGTATATACATACATACATACATACATACATACATACATACATACATACATACATACATACATACATACATACATACATACATATCCTTTATTTAAACACGATATGGTTTAAAGCTCAAAGCTTGTGGGGTCGTGTTAAAATGATTACAAATGGATAAAACTGTATAAAAAAATAAGAATAGCATCACTTACAAAATACAACTACAATTAAAACTCTAAAAATATACAGTAAGATTCTAACCAAAAAATAAAGAAAGAAAAAAATTTAAAAAAACACAAGGTTAAAATGAATTTACATTAGTTACCTCTAAGTAAATTGACCACAGCGTTCAAAACATAAAAATAGTTAAAAGCATTTAAAATCCTGGTAGTGCCTGGGCAGCGACTGGACCGACTGTGCGCTAAAATCAAGTTCCTTAAAATAAGAGTCCTTCTTCACTTTGCGATAAGAAACAGTAAACTGGTCTGTAAAATGACTTGAGACAGCGTTCCAAAGAATAGCGCCTCTATAGCTAATAGAGTTTTTAAGAAACTGCGAGTTAAAACGCGGGACGATCATGTTTTTACTCCTTCTGAAGTTGTATACAGTGCAGGGTTTATTTGTCAAGTATGAAAGAGCCGTAGGTGCTTCAACTATAAACACGCTATGGAGTAGTTCAATTAATCGAAGTTTATAATAGAGGGTTAAAGTATTCCAGTTCGAATGTCGGTAAACTGTCGGTAGGCATATCTCGGGGCAAGTTGTATATAATTCTGGCTGCCATACGGTGAAGTACTTCCAGAGAATGTAGAAGCTCTGTATTAGGGCAGCCGCCCCAAACGACTAGTCCATATAGAACTGATGGTAATATTATCTTGAAGTACAAGTCCAATAGGGCGTTTCTGGTCAAGAACGAACTCCTTTTCAGGAGGTTCAGTTTGTTTACGAAATTCTTTTTTACATCTGTAAGGTGATGTGACCAGGAAAGCCTCTCATCGATAGTGACGCCCAAAAGACGAGAGTGTTTCACCCACTCGATCCGATCCTCTCCAATAGTCACAGAATTTAGTGGCCCGATGTGCGGTTTTCTCATCAACAGCATAGCTTCGCACTTTGCCGAGTCAGGGGTTAAAGAGTTCTCTAGGCACCAACTGTTCAATTCCGATAAAGCTTTATTTAAAGAAGTGACAGTGTTATCAACGGTGTCCCCGATGCAATAAACGGTTGTGTCATCCGCGTACATAAAGACAGAGCCAGACGTAACAGCACTTGGTAGGTCCTTGGTGTACAAGGCAAACAACGTTGGGCCAAGTACTGATCCTTGGGGAATCCCGCAAGTGACGTTTAGCACAGTTGAGTGCTGGCCGTTTAGTCTGTCAGCCATGATAGAAGAGAACCTTGAACTCCAAATTGAAAATTCAACTTATATGCAGCAGGATAGCATGAGATACACAGTCAAAAGCTTTTCTGAAGTCAACAAACGCCACAGCAACCACTTTATCGGCATCAATAGCTGTTCTCCAGATTTCTGACAGGTGTACAAGCAATAATTCAGTAGAATGCCCCTCACGGTAAGCCCATTGTTTGTCTGTAACCAGGTTATTTTGGAAAACATGTCGAACGACAGATTCTGATACTCAAGATTCCATTCTCTAGCTTGGAACAGTAAGAAGCGATATTGGTCTATAGTTATTTGTGTCAACTTCATCATCTTTTTTATAAACCGGGATCAGACGAGCTTTCTTCCAATCAGTAAAGGTTTCTCCGAGGTGAACACAGATGAGAATAGACCAGTCAAGGGAGAGACAATGGCAGGCTCAGCTAGTTTTAATAATTTAGGTGCAATGTCATCAGGACCCGCAGGTTTATTTGGCTTGATGGCTTTTTAATTTACGTCGGACCGAATCTTCGCAGACAGTGATATCAGTCACAGAGGGCACTGAACAACCGATGCGATCGCTCCGGCGTGGAAAATTCTATTGGCTCGTCCAAGTCTTGTGCCGATATTGGCAAAGAAATCATTTATTAGGTTAGCCTTTTCTACGTCGTTGACGGCAAGGCTTCCAGAAAATAAAATAATAAAATAAAATTTGTAATAAATGGTATTAGAATTTGGTAGCTTTGTAAATATTCTATAAAATTATTTGTGCCCACAACAAAATTAGAGGATGGGTCTTACCACCTTGAATAAGAATTCTATAATACAATGAAAAAGTGCATTCACACGTAGTAGTAAGTGTTAAAACTTTAACTGTCAACGACATAAACAGCAACACTGCCACCGGTACTTTTAACAAAAATTAAGAACCACAAAGTATGGTTTTCATTGGTGAATGGAGTATGGCATCATTATGATGGGCTGTGGGAGAGGAATTCCAGAGGGCAGGGACTGAAAAACTGCACAGGGAAGCCGTCCACTCCAAGTGGTTTCCTCCTATCTCACTGTGTGTACATTTTCGAAAAGACTTTGCATTAAAGTGGCCTGTATCTTTTGATCTGTTGTGAGTGTAGAATAATTTATAAAGCACAAAAGCATAGATAATGAATCAAGATTTCACTGTTCAAAAAAAGCAATATTTGTCTGAAAAAAAATTCGTGCAGAGGGGTTCACCTGAAAAAAAAATTCCTGCACAAGCAGTGAGCGAAAAAAAAAATTCGTGCAAGCTGAAAATTCCCCACCCCCCCCCCCCATCACTTTTCTAATGGTCCGTCCCTTACCATGCATGTGGTGAGTTGTTGTTGTCCTTAATTTGCACACGAAGTATGTATAGTTTGTAGGAAAGATGAAGGAGATTATTTGTTCTCCAAATTTACGCAAGTTATGTGAAACCAATACGTAACACCAATAGTGAACCTGTGGTTTCGCGAGGAATAACGTCT